AACTTTTTATTCAAAACACTACAAACAAAAAAAAGCACAATCAGTAGAGTATAACAGAAAACGCAAGAATATTGGACCATTTGCCACCGGCAAGCGCGGCAAATGGACATTGACATTTATTGTTTTAATCTTATATGACTTGAAGTCAAATTCTTTAAAGCCATACCAATTTTATCGCCTGCCGACTACGATTATTTGTATTAGTTAGAAAAGGGCTGTTTTTAGGGTTTTCCCGACGATTATTCGATTTTTTTCGCCGTAAAAACCATCCTTGGATATAAACAACATTTTAAAAAAAGAATTCGCCAAATTGGTCCAGGCGTTGTTGAGTTATGCGCTTACCACACATTTTCTGATTCATTTTTATATATAAGATTTAATACGACAACCACACTTGTAAAATAGCCAGAATATTTAATTATCATTCAGGCGATATTTAGGAAATAGCAAATACGATCAAAACTCTTCCTTACATGACCCTACTCAACGTTAGTGGTGTGATAGCACGCAGTATCTCGGAGTTGCATCAAGATAAGACCCCCAGTCGCATTCTTAACAAATTACCACACACACATATCGCATTGAATTTATGTACGATGATCGCCATTAAAATATCGGACGCCTGACAGGACCACGGCATCCCAGCTGACCGTTGTGTTCGAGGGCTTCAAATCGCTCGCAAAGAGGTAAGAGGTTAAAATCACAAAAACTATAGTAGTAAGGTACTATTGTCACTGGAACACCTGTATAGGTTTCCGTGGTGTAGTGGTTATCACATCCGCCTAACACGCGGAAGGCCCCCGGTTCGATCCCGGGCGGAAACATGATATTTTGGCAATAATTTAAAACTCTTTGTAATAATTTAATAACAACAGTTTCAGCGATATTGCGATAATTACTGCTACTAACATGGCTCGTTGGTCTAGGGGTATGATTTCCGCTTAGGGTGCGGGAGGTCCCGGGTTCAAATCCCGGACGAGCCCGTCTTTTGAAAATACACCACAAAATATGTTTTAGGAGACAATTTAAAAATCCATAGTCTGCAAAAGTAAAGTAGTTAACGAACTGCAGGTTTCCGTGGTGTAGTGGTTATCACATCCGCCTAACACGCGGAAGGCCCCGGTTCGATCCCGGGCGGAAACATAATATTTTGGCAAAAATCGTTTAAAATGTCATGAAACCAATTTTACCATCCACAAAACAATTTTGTCTAGAAAGAATAATAAATCAATACATATTTTGTACTATTTGATAAAAAAAAATAGTAAACATTTGCCTAATTCTAAAAACGCAAATAAAATCAGTTCAAGCGCACAATTCCACAAGATATAGAAATTTGCTGCAACTTAAATATAAGATTTTTTTGTGTGATTACAAGAAACCGATTTGTGGCGAGATTAGCTCACAGAGTAGCGTTGCCAATTCAAACGCTGTAGTTCTGAGTTCAAATCTCCGGCAAGAAATTGAAAAATATTGAGTAGATAATTTGGATTCATAATAGAATTATGAATTGTAATAAAATTATGTATATAAAATAATCATAATGTATAAAAATTAGAGAATTAATTAAGATGAATCGAAGTAAAAGGTTTAGAAGATGGAATGAGAAGTATCGTAGAAGAAGTAAGAAGAAGTAGAAGAAGCGAAATGAGAAGATAGTAAAGAACGTAGAAAGAAGAATGAAGATAAGTTAAGAAAGTAGTATTAAGAAGTAAAGAAATAATAGGATTATATGAAGAAGAAGATTATAAGAAGAAGAATAAGATTATAAGAAAAAAAAACTGAATCTGCTGAGATTAAAAGAAGAATGAAGAAGAAAAAATGGAATGAAAATAGAAGTTGAATAGAATTAGACATTGATAGAAAACAGCAAAAATGAAGAATATAAAAACTGGTATAGAATGTAAAGAAATAAACATCTTGTAGGTCAGAGTAAGCAAGCGAGGCCAAATAATTTTTTTTTAAAAAAAGAAACCGGATTATTAAATCTGGTAAATTTGTCATTCAACAATCAAAAATAAAATACTGAAGCGGATAAATTCAGGCATGGAATTCGCACGTTGTAACAGAAAATGTATAACGAAAACAATATAAATTTGCATAAAGGAAAGCAAAGTAAATAAATAATAATGAAGTGAAACAAGACAAAATAGTGGTTTGCAAAACATTCACAATTAATATCATGTAAATTATCGATTATTTGTAAATCAAATGCAATGTAAAACAACATGACATGCCTGGAAATACAGAGTATAACTGTTGAGATTGTGAAAAATATTGCCAATTCAGTTACAGGTTTGTGATCAGACAATTAATGACATCAATATGCCAAATTTGGTACCAAAAATCAATTCAGACTCAATATATTTTAACAAAAAGGTTTTGCAATTAACCGTTTGGCAAATTATTGGCAAGATGTTTTATTTATTATCAAATCGTAAAAAATTATCAAAATTTATATAAATTTTTATTGTCACAAAATTCATGTATGGAAGTTAATTTCATTTTTGATTAATTAACAGAATTTCGCTGTAAAAAATCTGACTTAAAGCTCTAAAATATTTTTACTTTTTTTATTTTACTTATTTACAAAACCTCAAAAGGATTGAAAAGTCATTGAATTCATTTATGAAAGTAGTGTTTGAATTGATGCTTTAATTTTACAAATATTTTAAATATCCTATCCTATACCTTCCTGTGTTTTGAGCTGATTTTATCACAGGTCACCAGTTGACTTATTGACAGGCCTCGCAGACCAAGACGTGTACCACATGCGGCGCACGGTGTCAGCATCGATTAATTCTCGGATTCGATAAAAAAAACAACTTGAAAAGATTTGCAGAGTTTTAAAAGTTTGCTTTGGAAGCCAAACTCGGGATACAGAAGTAAAAACCTTACATTGAAAAAGGAAAATGTGGAAAATAGATATTTTCTATGAACTTCCTTAGTTGCACAGAAAAAAGAGATCTTCTCTGTTTTGAGATATTAAGTATAAATTTTGCAAATTGTCTAAGCACAGAATTTAAGGTATGAATGCTCAAATATAGAATATTTTGTTGAATGATTTATATAGACGTAGCTCCGCATGAGTTACACAACATAGGAATTCCTAAAAGAAGTTCTACAACTCCTGGTAAATTGTTAACCAGATGTATCTGGAGAGAGATGACTGTCCAGACCAGAAAGTTGACAAGGCGCCTTCGTGGCTCGTTGGTCTAGGGGTATGATTTCCGCTTAGGGTGCGGGAGGTCCCGGGTTCAAATCCCGGACGAGCCCAAAATATTTTTCATATGCGACAAAATTTTTACTAAAATAACAAAACTAATTTGTTACCTTAAACACCTTAAAGTCAATCAAATCATTTTTTTCAGACAAATTAATGCCATGCAACTACACTTATTACAGTGTTATTGGAAGCATCTGTAAAAGAATTGATATTTTGTGACAAAATTAAATTTTATAAGTTCTTATATAAATATTTAATTTTGTGATAAAATATTTAACAGGGAAGAAATTTTGCCCATAAATGAGCTGCGCAAAGGCCGCTATAATAATATGTGAAATTTATATTCTAAAGAAGATTACTTTAATAGCAATTTTTAATAGAAGTTATTACACAATAAATTATATGCGATATAGTTAAACTTCAATCCAATATAAAAATTGTCTTAAGGTTTGTATATAAAACGTTTAAGAATCTAATTACCAAATTACAACATACACGTCGAACGTCTAATAAAAGTGTGTTTGGTTCTTTTACAATTCTGGGCAACTTGTGCCTACAATCGTTTATCTGCAAGTTGAAGAATAAGTACAGTTTAGACCAGGTATCATTTATCAATAAATTAAGTTTAATGCCTAATATATTATTTAATAAATCGGCTTGATATGTGCGTGAGTCGACGTAGGTGGCACAGTGTCTTTATATCAAGAATTCTTATCTCTCGTGTACGTGGTGTTAAAGTATCTGTTATTCTTGTCATACACGAAAACACGACCATTCATAATCCCGAACGTCTTCTGGGTTCACTAATAAAATATCTTGTTTTATAATTGGAATTGTTTTACTGTGACATCTACTATAATGTGAGTTTTTATAATGCCCGTTATATATTGACGCCACATAAACGGAAGAATTTTTTTCGTGCATGGCCAACGACTGATCATTATCGAAAATGTTATTGCATTAGAGTTATTCAGATATTTTGGTAATTTAGAATTCTTTTCTTCTGATTTGATAGTTTACATGTATATTTAATAAATTGATACAGGTACTTTTTGATAATATCAGGGTGATGATGCACTATAAACTATACTATAAAACTAATGGTGTGAAAGCTGGTGAACAAAAAGCGAAAAATATTGAATAATGAATTTTGGGTCAAGTTTTCATTGAACAATTATGGTTTGCAAATTAATTTCATTCTCACTCATTCATTTCATTATTTGCCAATTAGATTATAAGACAGTGAAAGTTTCATTCCATTTATGAATCAAATATGTGCTAGAAATTTATCAAAATATAGATTTAGATCTTATAGCAATAAATAAAAAATATGATTTTGTTTTTTCTATGATAGTTATAGAAAAGATATAAATAATTCTTGATATTTGAAATTAATACCTCAATTGAAATATAATAAATTATATTGCGTGCTTCAATTTGTCACACAATGTTGAAAATTGTATAAATGCTATAAACAAGTTTAATTTATAACTAGAATATAATTTGTAAAGTATAGATATTTCAAATCAATATCTTTTAAAGTTCGCGCCGTTATTTTGCGTACAACTTCAAGTTCATTGTATCTGACGTTTGACAACGCATGCGTTGCTTGGCAAACGTCAGAATATGCGGCTTGTTGAGGTTATCTGGATATTATGACGATTCTATAAGAGTTTTCTTATTATTAGATAGCATTTAACATATTTATATAAATGGAATGCATTTACCATCATCAAAAATAGTTTTAAAAAGATAGTGTATAGAAAAACTACCATTTTTATTAAGTATATAATTGCACAAATTCTTTTTATTGATCTAAAGTAGTTGTAGTAAAGTATACTTTGTATATACAAAAACCATGAAAATCATCTGGCTGTTTTTATTTATTTCATCATCAACATTTGCTCTCGAGAACAAAAATGAGAAAAAAGCTATTAAACTTGCACCTTGCCAATCGTGTAGAACTTTAGTGGACTCCTTCAAAAAAGGTATGGATAGGACATCAAGGGGCAAATATGAAGGTGGAGATGCAGCTTGGGAAGAGCAAAAATTAGGCAGCTATATGACAAGTGAAATTAGGTTAGTTGAAATTCAAGAAAAGCTTTGTAACGATGTAGATCGAGGCCAAGATCAATGTCACACATTAGCGGAAACTAATGAAGGTTTGTTTTCTCATTAGTATAAGTACTACATTGTGATCATAAATCTTAATTTTAATGTAAAACCTTCAACAGGACTTATAGAAGAATGGTGGTTCAAACATCAAGAAAACGATTTTAATCTCCACCAGTGGTTGTGCATAGACAGGTTAAAAGTATGTTGTCCTATCGAGCATTTTGGACCAGAATGCCTCCCTTGTGAGGGCTACCCTAAAGTTTGTAATGGCAATGGACAGTGTAAAGGAAACGGCACACGTTTGGGTAATGGCAAATGCATATGCGATAAAGGATACAGTGGCGATATATGTGCTCATTGTGCTGATGGATTTTATGAATCTTATAAAGATGATGAAAAATCATTATGTTCTCAATGCCATACAGCATGCAAAGGCCCATGTACGTCAGGTGGAGTCAAAGGATGTAAAGATTGCAACAAAGGCTGGTTTATGAACAAGGACAGCGGTTGCATGGATATTAATGAATGTGTTGAAGTTAAAAATCCTTGCAAAGTTAATGAATTTTGTGTTAATAATGAAGGCTCATTTTCATGCCTGTCCTGTGATAAAGCCTGTAAGGGCTGTTCAGGTGATGGTCCTGATATGTGTGAAAAATGTGCCGAAGGGTATGAACTTAAAGATAATATCTGTGTGGATGTCTCAAGCCAAGAACGTTCTACATTTGTTAGTATAACAAGATACTTAACATATTTTGGGTTGTGTGTTGCCACTTGTATTGTGCTGCAAAGTTCTACAACTTTGGCTGCTTTGTTTGGACTAGCAGTCGCAATTTATATTTCAGTATCAGAATATATGTTAAAAACAAATAAAGGAACCACACCACAAATAGACCCTAATTCAATTGATTGGCAAAGTCTACTAAAAAGTTCTTAGATAAATTGTATAGAAGGTTAAAATTAAATAATGAAATTTGCCAAAAATTTACTTAAGTGGATGAATAATATATATATCAAAATCAAGTTGATATTTTAAGAAAATGTATTGGAAGTTTGCATGTATTTTTACTAGTACTAAATTATTGTCCTTATTAATTGGAGATATGAATGGAAAAATATCAAAACACAATTGCATTAAACTATTAGAACATATATAATATTATACATACATGTAAAATATTATTAACTTTAACAATCAGATATTGCACATTAGAATTTATTTCAGTCATTTCTAGTTTCTGTATATAGCACATCCGGCAAATCATAACAGTGGTATTTTTAAGTTAATTGCGAAATAAATGTTTTGTATATATAAAAATCATGTGCAGATATTGAATGAAAAGCTAATAAAACTTGTAAAAATAAAATCTTACCTTATTGTATTTAGAGCTTTGCTGACAAAATAATCCAGGAACAGCAAAATAATCCAGGATACACAGGAAAATTTTCATATTTTTTATGTAGCTTGAAGAGGGCCCAAATTTATTTGTAACCTAGAAAAATTATCAAATTAGTACAAGAAATTCAAATGCTTTAGAATTTTCAAATGCTCATGTTCAAAATGGCGTTATAAAAAAATGCATGCGATTTAAAAGCATTGAAAGCTCTACTTTGGTTTGAGGAAATAAGTAAAAGAATTCAATTTGTAATCCACAATTGATAACATGTTGAAAATTAACAGTTTTGAATTACCTTTTAATATAAATTGATTAAAATTAAATAATTAGTTAAAACACTGAAATAGCACAACCGTTTAGCGTAACCCACTACTTTAATTAATTTCGTAATTGCTGTGAAGGGTGTGTTTCTTTGCCGTTTGTGCTTACAAGGTACCAACTTAACAAACAATTTTTGACATTGCGAGTTCAAGAGCATTCAGAACGAAAAAGTTTTGCAAAGAGTTTACAATATTTTTGTGTTATTTAATTTGTGATATACATGTAAGTACTTTTATTAATCTGATTTAAAACATTAATAATGAATATGAGTAAAATGACTTTGTAAAAACGTCGTATTACAATTATTCAAAATTTTATTTTTATATATTTACTGAAAAAGGTAAACATTGTAACTGTCATTCTGTTATGCTTTTATATCTCGAAATATAATTTCGTTATTATTTAACTAAGACCATAATATATAAATATAATTTACCTTTAATAACTGACATAATTTAGTCACTATTTCATCACAATTAATAAATTTAATTAATTAAACATTTATTAAGCACAAACTTTTGGCGGGAACTCTTTCAGTCATTTTGTTAAATGCGTTAAATGACGTCAGTTGCGTTTCGTTACAATTTTGCAATAGTACCAACTTAAAAGTTATTTTTGACATTGTGTTCGTTGTGGTTTGCTTTAAGCGTTTACATTATTTATTGTGCTATTTTGTGATTTATATATGTAAGTAATTAATAATTATTAATAATTTATATCTGTTAAATGAGTTTCTAAAAAACCTCATCAATGAAATACATTATATTCATTCAACGTAGAATTTTATATATATTCAAAATTTTATTCTTGCATTCATGTTTTGATCTTGTCTTAATAGCCATTACGTCATAGATTTAAATACTGATTTATAATTAGAGTTTGAATTTGTAGGTTTGATAGTATGCAAATGTAACTCTGACGCCAGGCATTATTTCTTCAAAGGCTTGCTTATGGATATATAAATGAAACATCAAAAGTACCAGTTGTTACTTCTGATAAATAATTCCTTAAACAGTAAGTATTATTTGCATTAATATGCTATTAGTAATTCTAACGTGAACTTCTTTTTTTTCTACTTATAAAAATCGATTTGCTTTGAGTAAAGAATTTATTATATTTGGCCTTTATTTTTTTTAAAGTTATCATAATTTTATTAATTTTCAACTTGAAATCCAATTCAAACTCAATTTTCAGTTTAGATGTTTTTCCAATATTTTTCCAAACTATCTTATTATATGGTAATAAAATCACAGTATTTATCCTATTTATCCGAAGGCTATCTCTATATTATTATCTAAAGGATTATATATAAAGGATTCTATTGATTGTTTCTAGCTGTAATAGAATGTTTTGCAATAAGAATAAGCTATCAAATGTCTAAAAATAAACACCTGAGTAAAATATTGAAGGATTAAATTACAATATAAAATCATTCAAGAGGACTTCCTTCTGCTCATATGACCATCAGCTGGCAGATGAGATCTTTAGAACGCTATAATGAACATATTAAGGAGGTCAAGTGAATTTTATAAATTTTCACTTCAATTGTTAGTAAATAACACTAACACTGGAATAACAAACTCAATTTTATATTAAGATTATATATTATATAATCAGGCCTGAGACTTATTTTCTAATTGAGACTAAGACAGGTGAATAGGTCAGTATTTTTGAGTTGAGTAACTCATTTGGATGATCTTCAATAACATCATTAAATATATGAAAAAAATTCATTGCAAAATGGTTTCAATCACAAAAGTTTTAGAACATTTTTATTTGTCTAAAATATGAACAAGTAATTGAAATTTTCTGGATTTTACTGTTTTATTCATTCATTTCAATTCAAAATCAATTGTATTTCACGAAGTTGTGTTTTCGTAGTCAGTCATGGGGGCGTTGAGTGTATTAAATGAATCATCTGTAATTCGATACATGTTTGTAATTTTGCACAAGGGATGCTTCCCCTTTACTAAATGTGAATGATGTAGACTCTCAGACGAGCCTTTTCATGTCTGTAGTATTTCTCACAAATTGCATGTTTTGGTTCTTGAAGTAAAGTTCCTCATTGTTATTATAATTGTAATGGAATTTTTAATGATTCCAGTAAAATATACTATTGTTAGTTCTATAGAAAATCATTCACACAGTTGAGACATCGTCAAGACCTCCCTTTTAATAAAAATTTAATCTTTATTTTCTTGTGAAATATTTTTTTTAATCATATGTTTCAATTTTGAATTGGAAAAAATTGATGTCATATAGACATAAGGCAGTCAATACATTTATATATATATATATATATATATATATATATATATATATATATATATACATTATTATCATCTATCTCAATTTGAGTTTGCGCATTGAAGAGTGATATCGGATTGGCGAACTTTTCATCAGGCGGAGTCCCTCTTGGAACACCCACACAAACGTGAAAGAGCAATTGAAATGGGCAGATAGTTGGGAAAATGCTTCGAAATATTCTTAGTCCTAACAGAAAATCCTCAGCTTGTAATGCTTAATCATTTTTACTCTTTATCAAAAGATTATCCTTATCCGACACTTGTTTTTCATTGTTATTTCATAAATGGTCAAACAGATTTCATTATTCTGTGAGGCATGAGATGATATCCTTCTGAAAATTTGAATCTTCACAAAGAAACTTTTATTGATTTTTTAAGCAATTTTCAAAACTTTTCATTTCAAATTTATATTCACAACTTGCCAAGATATTTTTTAAAATATTGGTTTACTCTAAATATTATGGGAAATAAATATAATATCACATTGATTTACTTTTTCATAAAGTCTACATTAAATTAAAATTTTTCTTGTCACCCCCAGCAACATTTTCTATAAACCAATTACCACCAAATTATTTTAATCAATACTATTGTATTTAAATGTAAAATTTAAATAACAAAACGAACTTTACCCAAAACCCATTTCTATTTTTTTCTATTCATACAAATTATTATGTACTCACCTTTATATGTCTATATACAATTTCTTGAATGACAAACATAAATTTGACACTTTTTTCTATTTTATTTCAGAAAAAAAAGTTATACCATAACTGACCACAAACAACCGTGTGAATATGTGTAAATGGTCGTTAAAATTCAATCATTTTTATTGTTGTGACTGAAGAGAGACCCCCTGGTTTGAGGCGCCCTTGTGAGATCTCAGGTAAATACAGAAGTCATTATATATGTATATATATATATATATATATATATAAGTATATATATATATATATATATATGTATAAGTATACATATATAGATACGAACAGATATATAGATTTGTTCAGATATATGTTTTTTTTTGTTTTTATAAATTGAAAATTAAAACAAAACCTTCAAATTATTATTTTAATCGTTTATTGTCGACCTGCAACAAATGACACAGATTGAAAATATATTCTTATAAGACTATTATGCGACGAAATTTGCACTCTATTAAATTATTTTAAACATATTTTCTGAGATGTATTGAATGTTATAACTAGTGTACCTATAATGGGTTGTTCTCGTCGCTGACAATAGACACCCAAAAGGTCAAGAGCACACCATTTCCAACCCTAATGGCTCTTCATATGAAATAGTGACGACAGATAACTCAACGAATCTGTCACAATTTCCATTCTTCTGATACTGATCTATTTATCTCCATTATTATTGTGTTCTACTCAAAACTGAAATACAAATGTGAGATGTGCTCATGGGGATATTAGTTATCTGATCGGCGAAATTCTTTTCAATGTGACAATAATGACCCGAGTTCCGTTCTTGATATTAGACTGCTCGTTTTATACCATTGTATGGCTTATTTGAAACTAAGATCGTTATCCTTATTCCTGCCACATTTGTTAAGGGCTGAGAATATTTAGATTTATGGAGAAGAAAATCGTGTTTGTTAACTTTCCGAAGGAGAAGATTGCCTTAAGACAATCGTATTATTACTTCTGAAAAATGTAGAGCCCATTCAACTACCCGAATCGTTCTGACTTTTCCTAAATCTCATAATCTTATTTTGCAAAATTCTCATTCTTCAAGGAAACAATGGCGAAATTTGCCTTTCTTTTAATAACTGACCAAAAAATTACAGTACATGAGTGCCTTTTAATGTATTTGACCCAAACGGTAGTCATATTTTTCTTTATAATACCCTCATTGAATAAGGGTGCTCCAAAAGAATATGTTTCAGCAAAGCATGAAATTGCATTTTGGTCGGGTATTATAGTAAGTCAGGTCGTTATGCGGAGTAATTCGATTATGATGCTTGGATGATACTTGTGGTTTAACTTTTTAGCTATTCATATAAAAATTATTGTAGAAGTTCTTGCTGTTTA